ATATAAACTTGTTGTCAGTAGGAGTCAATACAAACCTAAAGTCAATAGGAGTCAATACAAATATATACGGTAAACAGAGTCAATTCAAGTATAGAGTGAATAGGAGTCAATACAAACCTAAAGTCAATAGGAGTCAATACAAATATATACGGTAAACAGAGTCAATTCAAGTATAGAGTGAATAGGAGTCAATACAAACCTGTAATCTCCAATAAAATGGATAGTAGGTGGGCGGCTGACTAGCATAAGTTATTAACATCACTGATTATATGTAAGGAAATATCCACGTGGCAAACTTTAGCTATGATAACAATGTACTTTTAACGAGAATGTGAAGTAACAACTACAATTAAAACCAGCGTTCACGATCGGAAAGGAGTTTTTTGTCACGGAGATTGATATTCCCCCAACTCCACCGTCATTAGACATATCGCTATTTAAAACTGGTATACTAAATATTAAGTATTTACACCTGCTGCTTGAAGTGTATTACTATTAAACTATTTTTCTGTCTTATAGTGTTCATTGTCCAGAAAAACCAATAATATTTCTTCACCAAAGTGGTAGTTTGCGATAATATCAGAGTTAATTCATAACATTGAATTATTTATGGTTAAACTATTTCTCAGACATTCTTATAAAATACCAATATAAATTGTTTAGAAAATATGCATTTATTGTTATTATTATTATTGACCATCAACAGTATAAATAAACGACCTTAGAACACCAAATTGTTGTTTTTATTTAATTAGACAATGTAATTAGACACTCAACGTTTCGCTTTACAGCTTCTTCAGGAGCATTCACTAAACCACAAACCGAAATTGACAGTACAAAGCTTCAAAGCGGAACTTTGAGGGTGTAATTAAATAAAAACAACAATTTGGTGTTATAAGGTCGTTTATTTCTAATATTAATATGCCTACAGAAATTTAATAATTGAATGACCATGGTTAAAAGAAATATAAGAACTGTAGGGTATTTACAGCCACTGAGACACTAGAAATATTTGATAATAAAGCTTTTCTGCATGATATCCCCCAGTAAGTTAGTGATAAGTTTCCAAACTGACAATTCTAATATCCGGTTCAATATCCCGAGGTACAGAGCGTAGGTATTCTATTATGTCCTTTTGTGCTGGTAGCGTAAGGTGAAGTAATAGTAAATAATTTCTACTTGATAGCATAATTCTGAAGTATGATCAAAAGTTTCTACCTGGTGGCGTAGTGGTGAAATATAATAAATATTTTCTCCCTGGCAGTGTGATGGTGAAGAATTTATACTAATAAAACAGCCTCTGTGTATGTGTGTCAGTCAGTCTGCGCCATAGCTCCAAGAGGAAAGAATCTAGAGACCTGAAACTTTACACGCGTACTTAGGGAATCCTGAGGGTGTGCGCCTGGATATTTTTTTTTTCTCAAACTCTTTTAGTCAATAATTTGGCCCTATAGCCCTTGAAGTATAAAAAGAGTGAAGTATATGCTGCCATCTGTCGCTTGGTACAACAAATTGTTAGGAAATAAGTGTTTAATAGTAATAACAGTTTTGTAACAACAATTTTTTTAACATGTATAAAAGTGTCAGAATTCACAGTATTGGAGGAAATGATTATATTTAAATGTTTGTTAGTTTGTATTTCTGATTTTCAAATTGACACACACATAAAAGGGTTAGGATTCATCTTATAATTTCTGCCAATAACGTAGAACAATAACAGTTTTGTAACAAAAGATTAAAACACATACACACACATAAAAGGGTTAGGATTCATTTTATCATTTCTACCAATAACGTAAAACAATAACAGTTTTGTAACAAAAGGTTAAAACACACACACACATAAAAGGGTTAGGATTCATCTTATAATTTCTGCCAATAACGTAGAACAATAACAGTTTTGTAACAAAAGGTTAAAAAACACACACACACATAAAAGGATTAGGATTCATCTTATAATTTACGCCAATAATGTAAAACAATAACAGTTTTGTAACAACAAGTTAAAAAAACACACACACATAAAAGTGTTAGGATTCATTTTATTGGCGGAAATGATTATATTTAAGTGTTTGCTCGTACTAATTTCATATTTATAGAATGATTGAAAACAGTATGTCTTTCACTTCAGTATTAGTACCTTTACGAATTTGACATGTATTGTTACATGAAAAGCGAAATTTTGATCGTTTATGTTTAAAAATAGCTAAACATCGGCTTTGTTCAGGTAATACTAGGGCAACAACGGGTAAAGACGGCTAGTAATAAATAATCTCTACCTGATGGTGTAATGGTGCAGTATCATAAAGAATGGTGAAATATAATATAGAATTGTTTACCTGGTGGCGTAACGGTGAAGTGATGACTGTAAACATTGCGATACACAGCTTCCCATCGTCATTAGGTTTCAGGATAGATATACATGTTAACCCTTTCTGAAAAAGTTACTTCAGATGAATATGCCCTATTTCACTACCTCATTCATATCTATAGAAAAAAGAAGAAGAAAAATTATGAAAATATGTAAAGTATTATGTACAACAAACTGCTAAACAGTATATAACGAACCTGTGTACTGTTTTTATTGTTAGAACACAATCTTTTAATCAATATGATAAAAAATATATAACGAATCTGTGTACTGTTTTTATTGTTAGAACACAATCTTTTAATCAATATGATAAAATATATACAGCGAATCTGTGTACTGTTTTTATTGTTAGAACACAATCTTTTAATCAATATGATAAAATATATATAGCGAATCTGTGTACTGTTTTTATTGTCAGAACACAATCTACGTACTGTATAAATATGTTTTTATAATACAAACTTCTAACGTTTATAACTAAAAATACGAATCTACAAACTATATAAATATTTTTTTTACAATACAAACTTCTAACGTTTATAAAAAGTCAAGTCTGGTCAAGTGTATGAATAGGCCTTGCCAAATACGGCTGATGTTGCTAGGGTCATTATCACGGTTCAGATTACAATGCATTTTTTTAACAAGTACATAATACAAATTCGTGTATTATAAACGGTAGAAGTATATATTCTAAAACAATATTTATACAGTACGTAAATTCGTATTCTTTGTATTATAAACGTTAGAAGTTTGTATTATAAAAACATATTTATACAGTACGTAGATTCGTATTTTTTGTATTGTAAAAAAATATTTATACAGTACGTAAATTCGTATTCTTTGTATTATAAACGTTAGAAGTTTGTATTGTAAAAAAATATTTATACAGTACGTAAATTCGTATTCTTTGAATACTTATGTCCTGTCACCTGCTGACACATTTCCGTCACATTTAATCCCTGTAATGGCTGGAGACGGCTTGAATGGGTAATGAAGAAAAACTTTAATAAGTTTGGATTAAAACACAGTTTGGTAGAAATGTTGCATTTAATTTCAAAAATATGTGTAGTTCCCTAAATAAATAACTGATTAATGTAAAGTGTTTAGGAACATTTTTTTTTTTTAATTATCATAATGATGTTACACATTACTTTCTTACTGTAACACGCCTAAGTAGTCTTATCAGACACAACTCACCTAAGTATTCTTATCAGACACAACACACCTAAGTATTCTTATCAGAC